TTATAATTAAGTAACAATACAATCTTATGGACAGCATGCAAAAAACAATAATAAAAAATAAATTACAATAATGTGCACTTTGAAAATTTTGAAGAATTGTACTTGTATGACATTTCAGCAAATGTCTGACACTGATATTATATTTCATAATATGTATATAGTTATATACATTTATCACAAATATATTTTTCAAACCAAAGTAAAACATTACACTTAAAAAAGCACAATACATTATAATTTAAATTTACATATTCTTTGCATATGTATGTATGTGTGTGTGCATATATCATCTACACACACACTTATTCCATATATCTTTATGCATACAGATTAAAACACAAAAGCAAATTTATTAGCATACGAAACTAAAATTTTGCTGACATCATATGATAATACATTTTATGCTGAATGAATACACAATCGTAATAACACGAAAACAGCAAATCTGACAAAATTGAAATGGTATAACAAATGCTGCTGAATATCATATAAATAATAAACATACAATATAACTTGTATGTTCTGTATAGCTGACTAAAAATAAATATAGCTCACAATGGAATGCCGGTCAAAGGTGAAATAACAAAGTGAAAGCTTTGTTTTTCTCAACCTGATGTCAATAAAAACAGTGCTTTAATTTGTGGAAATGGCACTTTTCATGATATGTATACAAGTAATGAAACATAATGACTTAGATTTAGTTTGTTTTCTTGATCAGGAACAGTTGCATGCTCACAGCAACGAAAAAAGAAAAGAAAATGGAATAGTAAATGATATCACAATCTAATATAAATCTAAAATCATTTATAATTAATTATATAATACTCTCAGATAAAGTGGAACTAAAAAGTTCGTTATTTCATTCACAAGACCTCATAAATTTACAGGAAATACTTGCTTTGACATATAAATACTTTAAAACAGAAATATGCTTCATTATCTTTTGTTATCTTTTACATATTCAAAACTAAAATAAGTTAAATAATTTTTTTCAATTAATCACAGTTTTAATTCTGAAAATACTGACTTATGAAAATAAATATTTAGGTACAGGTACAGTTCTTTTCCCTTGCATTTTAATGCCAGTTATCACAAGAATTGGAAATTCAAATAAATAATTCATAATTAAATTTATTAATTAATTCACTTTTTAGAGTAAATAAAATGACATTTAAAACTGCACACAAAAAGTAGTAACAGGCAGTTTTTAAGTTCATGACTATCAATGCATAATTTTTGCCGACACAATTTTTTTCCATATTTTATATACACACAAATAAAAACAAACAAATACTTTCAAACTGTCCCATATATATTTTGATCTTCAGTTTTTAAATTAAACTACATTCTGTCTACGCTTTAAGCATGAAAGTAAACTACAGTAAATGCATAGCCCCTTGAAAAAAAAATATGGACATTTTTATACATACATATATATATATATATATCAGATATATATATAATGGTGATGAAATCAGAGCTTTCTCTGCATTTCATGACTTATATGGGAATTTCATTTGAAATAAATTTAAGTTAGGCAATAGATTTTTTCACCGCATCTGCATTAAATAATATCAGACTGCCTTCAATTTCTTACTGTGTTGAGAAATATTTTCTCCATTTCCTGTTTCCGACACCGAACTCATAAATCGCACTTGAGGTTGACCAATAAGGCTGGCTTGCAAAGCAGCTGCCTCTTTTAGTCCATTTGTCATGGCAGCATTACTGCTATACATATCCTGAGATACACTACAGTTGGATTCATTTAAGGACCCATTTTCAATTATATTTTTACTTGTTCCACAAATGGACATGTTTTTGGAATTCAGCACTACATCACTATTTATGGAATTCATCTTTGCTCCTAATCCAATGAACTACAAGAAAAATAAACACATATGTTTTTCAATTAATTGTTTCTTCAAAGAAAAAATAAAATTATAAAAAGGCCTATATAAAAAAAGGATATACAATAAAAAAGGAGAGCAAATTCAGTACTTCTAATTATGCCGCTAAAAACACAAACATTGCAAATATTTTGCTGCTAAGACAATTAAATTACCTTGCTTAAATTAAGGTTATACACACAAACATTTTCTAAAAGGTCTATTTTCCAATAAACTATTTACTTACGTTCAAAAATTCAAAATTTTTTTATGATAATTTTTCAGTACGTTAAGCGTAGCCTTCCCCCTAGTTTATACCAATTTCATAGTTGCCAGTATGCATGTTAAAATATGTGCATGTTCAAACAAATATGGTATGTTTATTTTTTAGAAAAACATGTCTGACAGATTGTTATCTTAATAAGTAAAAAATTGCTTAAGAAAAATCTGAAAGCGTTCAGATTTTATATTATGCCCAAAGGGACCTTTTTTAATGTTTTGTGTGTTACCTTTATTTATTAAATATCATGTTTCCACCACTTAAACATAAGATCAGTGCAACAGCAATTGCAAATAGTGAAAAGAGCATATCTTTAGAATTTCCGATACCAGACGCACGCTGGGAAATTTTTTTCTGCACAGTGTTGCTTCCTTTTTGAAAGCCTTGAGCTTGATCAAAAATTCGAAAATTAAAAAAATGGACATCATCACAAAACAAATCAAATTGTTCTTCCACAGCCCATATTCGGTGGAGTTGTAATTTCAAATTCGATGACTTTACCAAATGCATACAAATACAGACATTTATGCAGATTCTTAATTATTTAATTTCTTTAAATATAATACAGTGATATAATTAGTGAATCAATGCAAAATGCCAAAATGAAATTTAAAGCTCTTCTGGGGAAATTGCCCCAATAAAGCTATTTTTATTAGATTTCAATAAATTAAAAATTGTATTTTATACTTTTTTCAAACTTTGTTTAGTACTAATGGCATCTGCCGTTGATTCCCCTAGCTCATGCGCATGATAAGCAAGTTCTCTGCTGTGTAATACTTTTCTACGCAGTTAGCCAAAGTTAATGGTGAGTATCGCATGTAAGCGAGAAGTGCTAAGCGCTGTGTAATATCATGTTTCTACTCTGCTGTTCAATGTCTTTACAGCTTAAATAAATGTTTGTCATGTATATGGAAGACGTCATTTTATTCTTCAAGTACTAAAAGGTCAACGTTTTTGCTTAAGATATTATTCTGCCCTTATCCTCTCCATGAGTTACACTGTGAAGATTTTTTTATGCATGTATGCAAATATCTGAATTACTTAAGCCATGGTGCAATGCTATTTGCAGAAATATTTTGGTGAATTTAATACAAGTCATAGCATATGCCAGATAATATTGTTACTAACATTACTCCAAAACCCGCTCTACTTCAAGGAGCATGGAAGAACTTTTTTTTTTTTAATGCCAATATCAATTAGTGAGAACTATACTAAGAAACTATACAAGAAGGATGTTTAATATTACTCAGTATTTGGCAGTCTACAAATGTTACATATCATAATTTTAAAATTTTGCAGTTTGTACATAATGAATAACTTTTTTCAGCATTCCCATTCTATTTTTTACTTCAACTTTCCTTACATATGTATCTTGCAATACAGAGTTCTTAGTTTAAGGATACAACTATGGATATTTTAATCAATTTTAATAGATGCTCTTTGCACTTTTTACAAGAAATTATAAATGAATTTTTGGCAATCCTTAACCATGGGACAAACTGTAGGAATTTGTATTATTTGCAGTTGAAGGTCTGGGGCAAAAGTACGTGTCCAGTTGAGTTTTGAATAAAACATTTTGAAGCAACGACTGTTTGCAATGGACTATGTGAAAATGAAAGTAGTTGAAAATTGAATATGTATGCTGTAAAACTCCATAAAAATTTCACAGTGTATTACATGAATTTGGTTGTGATCAGGCAATAGTTCACAGTACAGTCTTCCATAAGACTATTTCACTTGATGAATGCATACAAGTTGTAAATGCCTGAGAAGTCAAAATAACAACATACACAGAAAGTGTACAGTTGTGGCACGCTAGACAATGAGAAACTTGCAGAAGAATGACATAAATCATTTTACCAGCTACAACGATATCATCAGAATCAATATGCTGTATTTTTATAGGAACTTGAAAGAAAAGAAAACATTCTGCCCCCCTGTGAAATTTTGCTGGGTTTATTATTCTTGATGAAATGTTGTTCAAATGAAGATTTCATATGAGATATTTTTGTCTTAAATAAACAATGTTGAACATATGTGGTTTAAAGACTCTGAATCTAAATTCAAATTTTTGTCAATCCAGGGCAATCCAGTGAAGCAAATGATGATCCGTACTTAGGATTACCAAAGAATAATAATGAAAGATGCAGAAAATATGAACAATGTGAACTCAATGCAGAACAAAAATATGATGACATGTGAATGAGTGATTGTAAAATTGTCCAGAAAATTGCACAGAAACATCTTGCTTTGCTTCGCGATAAGCAGCTCATTTTGAACTAATTCACACTTGTACATGGGAAGGTTAAGACAAATTCACTGCCTAAGTACTAGCAGGAAGATTTACTTCATTTCCCATAAAGTCTAAGCATAAATCCACTAGACTACAAATTCTCTGCAAGTGCACCTGTGTATTTAGCTCCTTGCTTCCAGGGGGGGGGGAATTACTGACTAATTACACACATAGTGTAATTTTTTGAAAAAAAGTACTGAAAATTAATGAAGCATGCTGTTGCATGATTCCTGTTTCACAAATTTAATTACATTTTCAAAAACAAAACTACTGTAATAGCAAGTGAGTCACACTCAAGGGGGCCACAAGCAACAGTTCAGCCAGGCCTATTCACTGATGTTCGGTCACACCTATGAATATTAATTAGCGTTAAAAGACAGCTGATTGCTTTAACTTTCATTAATGTTTTCTTCACTGAATATGACATTTACTGGGTTTGTAGAAAATATTTTTAAAGAATGCATATATATGTATATATATGCATTCTTTAAAAAATACTAAATATATATATATATTTACTTTTCCTAAATAGTGCCTTATTTAACAATTATCTCAATTTGATAACAAAATCTTTAAGCAAATCTCGGGAATAACAATGGGTGCCAATTGTTCTACTGCAATCTGTGGATTATTCCTTTTCACACAAGAATTTAAATTAATGCAAACTCTAGATCTAGATAAGAATAAATATTTTAAGCACATTCACAGATATATTGATGACAATATATCTGTGAATAATAACCTTTAATAACTTTAACAAAATAGAGCAAGCAAATAGTTATCCTACTAGCCTTAAAATTAACACTACCAACACAAAACAAAATGACATAAACTACCTTGATCTTCATATTCTTAATTACAAATTTTTAAAAATTTATGACAAACACAGAGAGTTCAAATTTCACACGTTCAAACTCACCAACTGAACTTCTAATATTTCAAAAAGAGTCATTATTAAGACTATTAATTCACAACTTCTTAGAATAAAACGAATCTGTAATAGCACTGACCTTCTCCAAGAAAAAATTCAATACTTTATTAACAACTTGCAGGACAATGAAATTCACAAGAAAGTAATTAAACATTCCCTAAAAAAAGCTGGCATTAACCTGTTATTTTAAATTACTTGTTTTAATGACATGAAATTTTTTACTCAAACCCACAAGGAAGCTAGCTAATGGATGACTAAAATAGGTAATCTAATGTATAAATGTAAATTCTCTACATTTGCTTTATTCTTAAAAGTTGGCTTTTAAGATCAGTGTATTTGCTTAGAATATTATGATTTACTGGCCAACTCTATCTGTAAAAAAAATCAAATGTTTGCCTTGCAATCAAAAAATAAAAAAAAAATGCCGTCCACTTTGAACTTTAACCTCTATCCTTTGAAGCCTTCAGTAGGATTGAAGCCGAAATAAACTTCTCACGATATATATTTGGGTATAACAATACAATGTGCTAAAAAAAAAATTAGCCCGAGTAATATTTGGGCGTGACATTTTGGAATACCAGTTCTGTGCCCGAGATTATTTCGGGCATGACAGTTAAAAGGTTAAAGGCCTATTTCCAATTTCCCACAATTGCTTTGAAGCCCATTAGTGTGAAATATGACGACTTTTACTAATATTTTTCTCCTGTTTTTCCATTTCACCTGACTTTTGGTCAATTTAACATTTACTTTGAATTTTCACCATTTTGTTTTGTTAGTTTGCTAAGAGAACTAACAAAACAAAAGTTTTTGTTAGTTTGCTAAGAGAACTAACAATCTTTAACCCGGCAGCACGTGCATCCTAATAGTAACACTAGAACGCGTTGAGTCGAATAGGCTCGTGCACACTTTTCTTCAATTCATGCGACTTTATTATTGAACCAGTAATATATTTTTTATACCACGATTCATAATAATCAAGGAAAGTTATATACCGTAATTTCGCACGTATAGTCCGCAGACACGATTTTATATAAAAAAATTTTTTTTAAATTGTCAGATAGTCGCTCACCGAACTAGTAAGCGGACTATACGTCCAAAATTACTTTTTTAATAAGGCAATATTTCCATGCTTTTTTAAACAACACCTTTGTTTGGGCGCAAATTTCTCACGCTTCTTGCCACTTCAACAAACGGAAGTAAGAGGCAAGTAAAAATCCTAGTATACGGTGCCCAGCCTTGGGCGCGACTTTGAAAATTATCGCCAACACCAAAAAATGATCCAAAGAAGACGTCTATATAATAAAGACACGCATAGTATAATACTACGTTTAACTATATTATTTTCTTTGATGACCTATATACTATCTAGTTTTAACTATAATTTTCTTTGAATGAAAAATTTAGTATATTACTATGTTTTAACTCTATATTTTCTTTGAATGACCCGTTAATACTATCGTATATGTCCCATTTTCACTGCTCATCCTAAGTCGCCAAAAAGTACTCAAATCCTGTGTGAACGGGATACTAGGATTAATTAAACAATAAGGCCCGTGCTCTATTCCATCTTTTTCAGTTCTCAACTACCTCTCAGCCAGTAAATCTTAAGGCGATGTTTATCAAAGTTATCGAAGCTGAACGACAAATCGGAAAACAAAATATGGGCAAAGTGCTTGGGCTATCCGCGTGATAAGTGCGTAATGAAATGTGGACCTTCGACCCAAACTCACAGCGTGTTGCAAAACCATTGCTATAAGTAAACGAAATCACGCTTTTTTTCGTACTCCAGGTACGTGCTACTATTGGCTCTAACAAAGACGATGACGCATCACTACTTTTCCCCCCCCCAGGGAGTGGCTAAAGCAGTGCGAGGATACTGGAATCTCGCGCTTTTTTTCTATTGTCATGGCAGTTCAACACAGCGTGTTTTTAAATTTCAACAATTTTAACCGGAACAACCAGGTATTATCCGAACGGTGGATGTCTGCAGCTTCAAAATTCGCATTTAAACACAGATAGTCCGCGGAGACGATACGCGCGAATAGGTTACTGAAATAATGAATAATATTTAGAAAAATCTCGTAATCTTTACATGCTTCATGTTAAATAAGATAACAGAATAAGGTAATATAACTGAATAATTGAAGAAGGTAACTAAATTAATGAATTAATGCATTTAAATTTTTAATAATGAAAAACTACTTGCATATGAAGCTGCAAACGTAAGGATGGTATATATTTATTGGCGCACAATACACATTATAGAGCTAGGCTCACAGCAAACATTTTTTTCGCATTTTGTGCATTAAGTTTTAGATTTTCTGTCCTTCACAGTCTCATAACAAGTTTGCCTGCACTGTTTTCCAGTTTGTAACGACCTTCGGGTTACATCCCTGCACATATTTCTAAATTCCAGACATAAAAGGATCGTGAATCCAGTAGAGCAAACATTTAATCCCGTACTTTGCAGGCTTACTGGGAATATATTGCCTGAAGGGACATTTACCTCTATAAAAGGTTCTAATTTTTCATGAATGGTGAAGTACTCACCAAGCCGTATAATTTTTACAGTTATTTACAAATAAATCAAACACAGATCTTACAGGAGCAAGTTTATAAAGTTCTTTCCTTTTCATACGATCTCTAATATCATCGAATCTTAGACAACGTAACAAAAATAGAAATCTCTTATAAGACATAGTCTGGTGGAATAGTTTCAGTCCTGTGCCATCAGTGGCCAAATATCTTTCACATTAACGTGGGAGGATTTATGTAATACACAGATGTAAAGAAGGCAGATTAAGGCTTTTACTTCGATTAAATTAGTTGTTTTTTTCAGTCATGGTATCCTTGAAAATTATCTGCAATCTTGTCCATGTAAATGTCCATGCAATCAACACTGCGCTCTAATATGGTATTATCAAACAGTAATAACCAAGAGTCTGTAGGGGGACGATACAGTTCTCGCATCACCAACATATCCAGGCAATTTAGTGATAATATTTTGTGAACGTGTTCTTATATTTTGTTTTGGCTTTTTTTTTTAAATTCCATTTTGTAATCCCATCTATACCAGTATAAAATTCACCTAAACTGAATGCATCAATTTCATCATCTGAATCAAATTCTTTTTCCGATGAAGTTTCATGAGCACTAAATTGCTCTTCATCGATACTTTCTTTATCATCATCTCTCTTTATTGGTTCTTCATCTGTTGACATTTCGAAAGTAATGCTTGAAGCCGTTTCATTTCATCTTTATAGCTTAAATAATGATGCATCTTTTAAACTCTTATACAAGCATTATCTAAAAAAAAAAAAAAAATGCAAGAACGCGCATTGGGTCTTTCAGGCCCGGAGATTCAGTTCCTAGCTAAAGACAGCTTTAAGAAATATGATCTCCTACACAAAGGATAGAGGGTGACCTTGGAAGCAGGTATTGGTAGACTCAATCATTTTATAGAAAGGGAAAATGTTTCGCAACCCATTGAATATTTGCCCAGGCCTGTAAGACCTAACACGCCTTCTCGCGGGTTAAAAACGAAGCCATCTTGCACGAGTTGCCTCTGATCCCTCACCCTCCCCACAGATTTTACTCCCCTTTTTCCAGACTACTCCATTGGCTACGACAAGATTATGATAACTTGCTTCAGTTTAGTAATGCCCTCCAATAGGTGTAAATTGAATGTTCTGTATTTCTGGTGTCACTACTTTGGTTTCCTTCACCTTCTGGCAACTTTTTCTTGTGCAATTTTAGCTCAAATTAATTTTAGAAAGAGTTCGAGGCAGACACAGGTATTCTTTCACGATTAATTTATTCACCTTTTCACTTTTTGAGCAAAAAACTCCACCTTTTAGTCTTAACAGGACTTCGCTCTGCAAATTTTTCTTAGCTAAAAGTTTTTATTTCAATCCAATTGGCCTGCCCTTAATTTCATATTTAAATATGACTTTCAGGTTTTGTTTTTCATTTCAGAAAATCCCTGAATAATTTGATTTGTACCCCTGAATAATTTGATTTTTGATTTAAAAGAAACATAAAGTGGCCTAGTAAGGCCACTTTGTATTTGATGTTTCTTTTAAATGTGTTTAATTCTCAATTTTTTAATTTTAATTTTTAGTGTTCATGTACTACTAAGTCTGTTAAATTTTTACTCTGAAATTAAGACATGCAAACACGTTGGGGAAAAGGGCAAATCTTTTGAGACTTTTGTTAGTTGTAGTTTGAAAAGAAAATAGATTACGATTAATACCGTTTGGAGTCTCAATGTATTTGCTCAATGAAACATGTTTGCATGCTCTTAGTTAATCAACTCCGTTGAAGGCTTCAAGCACTTTCCCTTGATAAGTTCTGTTTGAAGCCTTGAACAGACAAGATTGACTCTGTTATTTCTATGTGCATGTGAATCTTTATGTAGATTAGATAGGAATTATCAATTATCACATTTTTTAAAATTTGATTTGTCACTATTTTACATGGTTATTTTGGAATTTGATAGGATACACAAATGTTTTTACAACCTTTGCTAGGTTTCAAAGCTCCTTACTGTTAAAATCAATTTCTAAAAATCAGTAGCTAAAAGCGCTATTTTTGACCGACTAAGTTATTTGACTTTTAATACCTTTTTCTACTTTTTACTAATATATATAAGCAATTATAAATAATTACTGATTATATTTCATACAACTGAAAGTATTAAATTCTAATTTTTGAGTGGAATATATTTTGTGAGCCCTCCTTTAAAAAAAGGGGAGCACATGAAATACCCCTAGAATAGCTTTTATCACAAAATAGGAATATACAGACAAAAATTATTAGTAAAAACAGTATGAAATAAGTTGTGGAAAATAAACTAGCATTCAAATAATTAAAACAATAATTATGAACTAATCTTACACAATTTTATACACAAAAGAATAATTTAAAACAATTTAAAAACATTCAAGTTTTTAAATTGAGTTAAGTTTAAACATTCAAGCATTGAAATTAATTTTGACATCACAAATGTCTGAACAGTTTTCATCACAGCACTGTGAAGCGCATTTGATAATAATTAAATCAAACAAGCTCCATATTAGTAATATATAAAGAGCATAAGAAAATTAATTTCTTCTATCTCAATGATAATTATTAAAGATCTTTACTTACTTCTCCCATAACAGCAATAGGAGTTTCATTGATGGCCTTTGCCACTCTATGTTCTATTAGGTAGAACATATATTCATCATATAGGAGACGAATCAAATGAAAAGAACCAAAGCTGGCAGCACTTCGTAGTGTAAGGTCCCTGATGACCATTGAGCTAAAACAATATTTCAGATTATAGTATTTTACAAACAAATATTTATAATGAATATGACATTGAGGAACATTATTTTATATGGTTTAAGTCTGATTCTTGAATACAGTTTGCTATTTAAAAAAAGTAAAAAATGAAGCTGCTGAAAATCAAGTACCACCAACCTTACTATTTGGAGTATATAAGTACAGTCCCTTAATATTTAGAAGAGTAACTTCCTTAACAAACAATAAGATAAATATATGTCAAATCATAATTAAATTTTTTAAGAAAAACATTATGAATTTAATATTGTGTTCTGCTATTTATGAATTTTTACGATTTTATAACTATAAATTTTATGTCACGCTATTGTCTAAAAATCCTATTTAAAAAAAAATTTCTGAGAAACTTTGCCTTTATTCATTATGCAAAATCTTCCTTCAGTTCAACTAAAAACTGGCAGATATTGAAAACCAAGAATTAGTAATTTTTATTACAAGAACCTGCAAAATTAATATTTTTCATACAGTCTTACTGTTCAGAATGTACAAACAATACTGTATGACTTCTATAATGATGGGCTAAAAATATGCATTACAAAATTAATCAGATAGCAACTTCTAGCACACTTATCACTTTTACTATCAAAAACACCACCATACTTACTAAAAAATAAGACCCCCTTACAAAAAAAAAGTACGTGAATGTTTGGTAAGAACATAGTTCTGACATGATTTATACATATTTCTTTAAATGGAAATTAAGGACTTTTAAGGACCTTTAAGCATCAATAATGAAAAAAATTTAAGGGCCTATCAACAAACAGAACTGAATAAATTAAAGCAATTATGCAATCAATTGCTTTCTCTCTTGCAATATTATTTTAAGAAAAAAATAGATGCATTATGCATGATTATTATTAAATGCAATCTAATCTTTTAACATAAAACAAATTTAATAATAACAAATCAGAATATAAAAACCAACTCCCTAAAAGTTCTCTAGTATTAAATTACAAACATAATTTCTTGAAAAACTTATATTTTACACTAATGATACACTGGCAGCAAATTTTAAAGAAAAAATTATAAAAAAGTACTTAGTTAGTTCTAGTAAGTGAAGTCTAATGAAAGATGGTTGTTTGGTAGTTCAAGGTCAATGCTGAGACTCACCTTCATTACACTGAAATATGCAAAATGTTTGTGCCCATTCTTTCACACACGTATGAAAGGAAATGCAAGGAGGTACTTCAAATTTTAATTTCAAAGACTATGAGTAGGTGGATAAAATTTTCATACATGAAAGGTGGAATATGTTATTCAGAAGTCATTTGATGGATTGTGAGAAGTAGTATGTCACTAGGAGAATGGAGGCAGGGCAACAATGACACTGTTCTATATGAACTTAAGAGTAGCCCAAAGTGTCATGTCAAGAATCTGGAAATGGTTTGAGACACTGCTGATGTATGCAGATAAATAGGGTTAAGGTGAAAATGTGCCATATCAGACTGGCTATTTAGGATCATTATTTGGTAACAATTTCTAAAAGAAATAAGACAAATGGCATCAGCTCCGACTGAAAGAGATTTTACTGCAACCATAGGAACACATAAATAAACCAAAGAGTGACAAGTTGTATAAAATAGTACAGTAAGATGGGAAATTTATGAAAACTCAGGTGGACTCTAACTCAGAGCTACAAGTTGCATATAAGAGGACTGTAGCAGAGGAAATTCATGATGTCTGGTTCCACTAACATGGGCTGCAAAATGTATATGGCTGCAGTAGTACAGAGATTATCGTCATTGGAGTACCAGATATTGCAGCAGATTTCTGCTTACATATGACTCTCATTTTTTTGTTCGAAGTATGATACCAGACATTTTACAATCTGGAGGGAGCAAAGTATATGCAATAAGCCTGAAAGCAATCGTGAAAGGCATCAGTACAAAGCAGTATATACCATGCATTTAGATATGCAAGATAAATATTTTAAATTGCCAGATAAATATGTTTATTAAAAGAGAAATTTCTTTCAATTTTGCATACTTTTGAATAGGGAAAAATGAAAAAAATAAATAAAGAAAATAGAGGGGCGGGGGGGGGGGGGGGGGGGAACAGAACTTTAACTTAGAAACACAATCCTTCCTATCATTGACTAACTGAAAAATGTATAAAACCTTCATCTGTAAGACAATTACATGCCTTCCAGCTAGCTACCTGATACAACTGCAGAACCCTGCTTTAAGTTTCACTAAATAATTTCATGCACAGTATTCATTGATTCTTAATCAAGCTATTGGGGGGGTCTGTAAGATTCCCTTTCAATGCCTCCATATAACCAGTTTTCATTCACTCTTCTGCTACAGTTATATTTTTGTCTTCTCAACTTCCTTTCATGAATTTCAATAACCACATCAAAACTTCCAGTCACACTACTTTCGTACACATGCATTTTTATACATACGTCTCAGTAAAACTTCACCCTATCCATACTCTGAGACATACTCTTACTCTTCATCTCATCCATACACATTTCTCTGAGACATCAGTCTCAAAAGAAGTGAAATCATGGATGGTCACTTCCATACAAAGATCTTTTAATGAGCTCCATAAATCATTAATTAAGTTTGGTAAGCACTAGAAACAGAGTTTATAAATGTCATGACTGGTTGTTTTCAACCAGTCATGACATTCATTCTGAAAACAACAGCATGCCTTCCAGCCAACTGAGATAATTATAGAACTTGTTTTATGTTTCTCTTCATAACTTTGAAAAGAGTTCTTCCTCATTCGTTCCATTAGTGCATGGCTGAAAAAAACCAGTTAGACTTTTTTCAATGCCTCTATAGAGCCACATTCCATTTATACATTTACTGCAGTTATATTTTAAATTCATCAATTTCAGCATTCACACTAGAATACGTAATCATGCGACTTTATGCACACATACCTCTTGGCAAAACTTGGTTCCAACCATGACTTATTTGGCAGAGACATCCATCTCAAATGAAATGGGATCAGGGGTGGTCAGTCCCAAGTAAAGATCTTTAAATGGAATTCAACAAGCCTTTAAATTGAATTTATATGAGCCCTAGAAAAAGGGTCCTTAAATGTCACATTATTTTTATTCTTAAATGTCAATCATGTGAGAGTCAAAAGCGAAACTCCTTTCTACAGATGCTGTCCATATGACATGAATAAAGTCATTTTTACAATCTTCCATATTTTTGAATAGGGGAAAAATAAATGTGAAATAAATAAATAAATAAATAATTTAAAAGCTTCCAGGTTTTATATTATGCCCAAAAGAGAATTTATTTTATGTTTTATGTGTTAATTTTTATTTATTAAATATCATGTTCTTCACACTTAAACCATAAAATTCAACAACACATATCACAAAATAATTAAAAAGAGAGATCTTTAAATTCAATACATAGTCTCATGCATGGTGTATAAAAGCACTTTTTTCCTCGAGTCCGTACAGTGTTGACATTGCTCGCTTTGAAATTGTGAAGAGTTTGTTAAGCAAAACTCATAATGATTTTACAAAAAATATGAAATAACTAATAGAACAGTTTCTAATTTGGGCTTCCAGATGTCCATATTGGGGGATGACTACATATCAAAATCTGATGGCTCTGGAATCGTTGTTTATCAGAATGTGAGAAAAGATACATACTTTACACAGTTCTTATTATTAATTTGTGTAAATTTAGTTCATTCCAAATAAAATTCCCTATAAGTATGATTTATTTTATAATTTTATTTTTAAAAAAATTAAAATTTTTTTTAAAAAATTTGATATAAAAAAAGTATTAAATATTTATAAAAATTTTAAACTCATCTTAAAGTAGAAGTATTCTGGCACACGAAAAAAATCAGAGCTTCAATCAAAATTTTCTAAGATATAATGAATTACAAGGTACATTTTTGAAACGCGGACATATTTTTTTGTAAGGATAATAAAGCACTTTGTTTAAAATTATTTGAAAGTAAGAACGATGACTTTTCCAACTGTACAGTGAAAAAAAGGGAAAGGAAAATAGGTGCTCTAATCTGCAATGCATTATTTTGGCCACAAACTGCCCGAAAAAAGCCCGATCAAATGTGTGCATTCTCCTAATTTTTTACCCAAATTTACAAAATTAATATTAGGCGTAATCTGAGTCGTAGAATCGAAATATGAAAAAAATTGCAGTCATTTCATAAAAAATCCGCAATTTTGTGTCAAATATCTATATTAGAATAATACTATATATAAATCTAATATATATCCTAAGGTGCACTTTCGAGACATCAGAAACACAAGTTGAACTTCATCAATCGGCCCAGTAGAACAGGAGATATAAAACTATCCTTTTTTTTTCCTGTGGTGTACATTGTTTACGTTGGTTTGCTTTTTGTGCTAATACTTTATAGATATAATTTCTTGATTAAGTCCTATAATTGTCATGTTGAGAATTCCCAATAAATTGCCAATCGAAATTTTTTTGTTATCCGCAACATCTCTGTCACTTTCTTCACTATGATTAGTGATATCTTCTGGACTTAGAACCATACTATACATTTTGCTAACCGTCAGTTGATTGATCACTCGCTCATTGTTATTGCAATAATTAACTTCTGTTATATCATCTTCATTTGTTACCATTTCTCCACATTTTTTCACAAATTTCGTTAATTAGAAAATTTCGGTTTTTGTTTGTGAGATCTCCAAATTTGCAGCTGTAATTATAAAGCTCAGCTGGAATCTGCTCTACACTGTTGGCAAATGTATCATGAGACTGGCAACTACAGATGTTGTTCCTCTAAATTTCTCATTTCTTCTGTTGCATGCTGAGGAAATTATACCTGAATTATATTAGTTTAGTTTTTTTTTTTTTTTTTTTTTTTTTATACTTATGAATATTTCTTACACATGCTTATGGTTTATTCCAGTCCTGAATAAATAAATTCCCACATATACTTAAAGCTTATCCAGAGACTTACTTAAAGCTTATCTATTTGACATTTTGGTAAGTCTGAAATTCTGATGCTTAGCACCTACCTAATTTTTTTACATCTCAGTGCCTTCACTAAATTCTAAAGACTTTACTATCCCTTAATTTTTTGCTCGGTGCTTCTCTAAATTCTGCCAATCTGTGTGGCTGCAACAGGTCTGGCAATGGTCTTATGCTTATCTGAATAACAAACCAGTTATTCTCCATTCAAACAGTACTACATGTAATCTTTTGTTCTTTATAATATATTTGCTCTATCATTCATAAAATTTATTTTTTTGTATATAGAGGGAAATTTTTGTTAAATTTCTCATCATCAACACACTCAACACTTTGCAGTGGAATTAATGAAATCTGTAATCATGCCAAATGTAATATCAGCATATAAGGTTACCATGCTCTTTGGTATTTATTTACTAATATTACAAAAAAAAAAAAAAAAAAAAAAAGGATATGGCTACATGAGTCATTTCTTGAGTTGCTGTGTATTGAGAGTCACAGGTGATGAAAACAATAATAATAATAATAATAAATAATGATTCGTCAAGTTGACATCAAGGATTTCAATTATTCAGTACATGTAAAATGAATGATGCTTTGATGTAGAATATTTCAATTTGAGATGCATGCTGAGCAAAAAGGCAGCTACAGAGCCAAATTATTGAAGATACACATTTCTGCTAATAACTGATTATTTCTTCAATATGGACGTATTTCATTTAGCACCAAATCCTAATTGAAATTAAGACATAATGTATAGCCCCCTAAAAAAAATGCTGCTGGTGATCCAAAATTCTGGATACTGGATGCCAGATTTCAGACTTTGAACTCTACTGTACACCTCTTCCTCTTTTATAAATTTTTTTGCCTATACTACTTATTTGACAGATGTGCGATTATTGTAACAATGAATCTGACGTTATTTAATGTGGATCTTTATGAACCGATATGGCCGTTGGCATGAAAAGTTGAAGGCCCTAATCTAGATGGTCTCTGCTGTTTATAGTACTGCTGAAGCAAATGAATTCTTTATATAAATAAGTGGTTCTCTCCAGATTTAGATTATTTATTTGATTCAGTAGATTTTCTTTAGAATAGCCTCTTCCTTTTTTCAAATGCTTTATTTATGGCTTTAAATTACCCATGAAGAATTTCCAAACAACAGTAAGTGAAAGCCTAAGCTTTAAGAAGTTCGAACTTCAACTGTTGTGATGGTAACATTTTCATCACAGATGGTTGAAGTATGGCCATATGATGATTAATGTGGAAGTTCAAGAAAAAATGTTTTTCATTGCAAATAAGATACTTTGTTGATAACACCTATTTTGAAAGAATATGTGAAAAAGCATCATTACGAGCTGCATAGTTTGGATTCTATATTAATCTCGCACAAAATGTTCATTCCCACAATAACTGGCAGTCATAAAAAAAGAAGGAAATGTTGAATGAGAAAAATTAAAGACAGTTTGCAAATTTTCATCGAAATTGAGAACTTTTAAAGACCAAAAATCATTTTCAAACAACCAGTGGATTCAAGGATCATATCAGCTTCATTCTGATTAAAATTTATTTGCTCCTAAATAGAATGAAAAGTAAGCTACCTACCTTAAATATATTATTTTAGTATCGGAAGAAAAATCAGAAAAAAATTAAGATATATTATTGTTTATTTGCTTTCAAGCACACCAGTAATTGGTATAGTGAAGCAAGCCTAGACTGAAATCACTCAGCTATCTGGCTCTCACAACTAGCGGTAAACGTACAGTTTATAAGTACAGTAATTACTATGTGGCTTATTTAGCATTTAAAAGATGTAATTATTCAGTACAGCATGATAATTCACATCATCTACAGTTTTATTTATTAAAATACTAGACTATGAGGGCCTAACAAAAATATAGCCCCCAACTCTTCAAAAAATGAAGTTTTATTTTCAAGTAATAACATAATATTTTTATTATCATGATTATCATAACAGCCCAATTTTTCTATCAGAAACATAAAATCATTAAATGTAAGCTTCAGTAACTGAATAAAAAAACTACATTAAAATAGTGAACAGTTTATGCTTTTTCTATTTTAAAGTATTTTAATTTAGAAGCAAAATTAATTTTATAAAAGCACAAATTTTACCACCATTCAGTTATTTAAAAAAATTCAACTACAAGAAAATTAATGATTAGACTTGGAAAATTTCTGCTTAAATAATAAATTTCTGCTATTTAAAATTGTTGTCAATAAAGAACATTCAGTTACCACCATTCAGTTATTTAAAAAAATTCAGCTACAAGAAAAATAATGATTAGACTTAGAAAATTTCTGCTTAAATAATAAATTTCTGCTATTTAAAATTGTTGTCAATAAAAAACATTATTATAACTATAATGTCAAGGCAGTAAAAACAAAAGTTCATATTCACTCTAATACTAAAACAACTACATTATAGTTTTAAAATTAAAAAATGTAATCATTATATTTGCTGTTTAGTTTTGCATAACAAAGAAAACATACATCATCATATTTAAAGTATTAACATTTTTGAAAAATAAAATATTTAAATTACTTAAACTGATTGCATATTGAGAAAAAAAAAATTAGAATTAGAATTCATTTGATTTCAAAAATAAATTACCTGTAAAATGACCATTTTAAAAGAAACTGTCGAGCTGCTTTAGGAAAATCAGATTTCCCCTCATATGGCTGGAGAACTAAATCAACCACTCCTTCTAACCACTGAGCCCATTGTCCAAGAGAATTCTGCTGCTGTAATGTCATTTTAAAATCTTGTCCAAGACGATGAACAGTACTTTCATCACACTGGCAGACCCAAGAAGCCTGCTCCTGATAATGAATGGGAAGATTTTTCAGATGCTAATTTAGTACACAAAAAAATTTATTTAAAAAATATTAACACCCCAATTAACCAAACCATGCATATATATTAAAAAATAGTACACAAGGTATACAGACATATCTTGAAATGTATCCAAGATCCAGACTTTTAAAGTGACATATGTATTGGAGGAAAAGGATTAGAAGGACAAATTAGCCCAAGAAGCCTGCTCCTGATAATGAATGGGAAGATTTTTCAGATGCTAATTTAGAACACAAAAAAAAAAAAAATTATTTAAAAAATAATAACCCCTCCAATTACCCAAACCATACATATATTATATTTTAAAAAATAGTACACAAGGTATACAGACATATCTTGAAATGTATCCAGACATTTAAAGTGACATATGTATTGCAGGAAAAGGATTAAAAGGACAAATTAGGTAGTTTCATAACTATAATCAAGTTACATGAGACTAATAGCTGTTATAAAAAGATTATTCACATCGAAAATCCAACAAAAATTACTTTGCTTTTAATGAACATTAATTTTTATAAAAATATTAATAAATGAATTTTATTTACTAATTTATAAACTAAATAGCTACTTTCAAATATACTCTTTTAAAGAAATTAATATTAAGTTATACATACAATAATGTAAATGCAGCTCAATGAAATTTACTAACAGCAGCAAAATATAGAAGTTTTTCTATTTAAATAAGCAATGCCAGACATCTTGGTGACTTTGAATGTGACATGATAGTTTGTAAAACATGCAAGAATTCCTATCAGTGCGAAACTTAAGCCTTTTTATGAATTTAGTATGATGTATCAAGAATAAATCAATATTCCAAAAATATCCAAACACAGATAGCTCTATGCCCAAGTAGCATATTACTGAAAGGACTCCATGAAGAATGGATAAAACCAAGTAATTCATAAAATCATGATCTAAGAGAAGGCAGAATAACAATCATCAACTACTGGTTATGATGACCAATGATCAATACAGATACCTCATCCTTTAATCAAACACAAGAATTTACTGCTGCAATGATTTATAATCACTGATATTAAATTACTACTGATGGAACATGTTCACTCATTCATTGTCTCATAATCGCCAGTCAACATCAACTAATGGGGGACAATTTAATGAGCTGCAGATTAACCAGGCATAGCATAAAAAGTATTAACCCATTAGCCGCTGGTGCTGCGTTGACGCAACGGTCAAAATAAATGCGTATAAAAATATAACTACCTAAGCATTTTATACAAGCAGATGATTTTGTGTAGGGAATATTATGAAGATTATTTCTGTAAAAAAAATATTTGCCTTCAACAATCATTTGTTTATAATAATTATCTCATACTTAAGTAAATTTAAGCAAAAGTTTCGACCAGATTTTTTGAAAATTTTAAGAAATCTTCCCTTTGAGTGATCTATTGTTAGCCAAGGTCACCGTTTATCAGAACATTACATCGTCAGATGTTTTATTTGTGTTGGGAAGGAGAAAACAGGTGTTGCGTTGACGCAACGTCAGCAGGAAACAGTAGTCAATCTCTTTTTCACCCTTCCTTTCGATTCATGGCATGTTCTGGTTGTTTAAAATGTCTAGAACAAGGATCTTGCATTAGAAGAAGCCCTTTAAAGATTTTTTGATGAAGAAACAGATGATGATAATGTTAATAATGACCAGAATGAAACTGATGTTGTTGTTCCCCAAGAAATTCCAAAAGCTAGTGATGAAGAAGAAGGGAATGACAATGTTTTAAATAATGATAAAGGTATTTTACCAAACGATACTGCTGGGGAAGTTGAAATTCATGTAAGAAGTAAGTATCAGCCTTCTAAATGCAGTTGTAGTCATACTAAAAAGTTTAAAAAGCAGGAGACCGAAAACTTGAAGTGGATAAAAAAGGAACTGTCAGTTATGTCTCAAGAAGAACATAAAGAAAGATATAGAAGCGAAACTATAAAAGACAAAATACAAGGTAAAAATATTGTAGAAATTTTCTTTTTGGTTTAGACATTTACTCTCTTCTCGTTGAACAGACAAATATATACGGTCAGCAAAAAAAATTGGAATTTATTGAAACTATCAGAGATTTACTGGAATATTATGCTTACGGGATATCATTTTCAAGAAAAAAAATGTATTTTTTGATAAGGACATTTTGTTCTGTTGTACAATTGGGCATCATTTTGCAGTACAGGAATGTAGCAAAGCATTTGACAAAGTCAAATTGACAATACTGATAAATTATATGAGGTGAGACTGTATCTAAATTTACTAAATATCACCACTTTTACTACTGGAATATAAGTCTCTTTTAGATTCAGACGTGAAATGCATATTCCTTTTGCAAACTCCTATTGGGGTGTAGAATTAGCCAGAAAAGATGAGCAACAGGAAGACCTAGTAAATTCAGCATTCAAAAATACATTGCATGGAGATGGTAGACATTTATCGTAAGTCCCTGATAACAAAAGACTCGTTGTAAAGAGACCATAGCAGACTGTTTATAGATTAAAGTATGTAATGTAGCTTTACATCATGATTGTAATCAAGCTTTTCATGCTTGAATCTTTCAAATGAAATAATCTGTATTTGTAAAAGAAATACAATGTATATTTTAATATTAAATTAATTACAAGTAAAAGTGATTTTGTAGATTTATAAAACGTTATACAGCTAAAAAGTAATCCTGCGCTCCACTCAAAAGAAATATCACACGAGTACAACCTACTCACTAAACATCCGTAGTCTTATTCCACTGACATTGCACGAACGCAACACTCGCTTTTTCCACAGGTAAGAGCATTTTTTTCTTGTTTTCAATGTAAATTTATATTATAAATGCTTAATTAATATTTGTTATTATTTTCATGAGAAAAGAATCATTCCTTGTAGTTTTGGTGGTTAATGGGTTAAATTTGTTTATTACAGTGTGATGGAAAAATTACTATCACAAATTATCAGAATTCAGCAAAATTTCTATAGGAATTACAGAATGGAAAGGAAAACATGCGGGGTAAGAGCAGTGACAGAAAATGATGTCACAATGCTTAGGAATTGTTTATGTTCACAACAATATGCAATTTAATTTTATGTAATCTAAAATACACAAACATTGTTAAGACATTCGTAAAAGTAAATTGCTCAATCATAAAAATAAATTATGTGCATAGCCATTAATCTTCTATTGAAATACAAGAGTAACATAAAATGTTCCTCTTTTGGGTGTTGATTTAATTTACATAAGCAAATGAACACTTTTCAGTTGTAAAAGGCCACAACAACTGACACAAGTATTGTTGCACACTGTGCACTGTTACTAGCTCATGACTATGATCTTTTGTTTGGGATAATAACTGTTTCAGTCTAGAACAATTATAATGTTCTATATCAAGGAATTGAAATTGTTTCAGAAGGGTAACATAACACCAAATCTGGCATAACCAATGCAATTTTAAAACTTAATTTCATCAAGCAAATTTGAAGCGAAGTCATCATGCATGAAAAGAGGTGACCCTCATACTTTGGGAAAGATTTTGATCATCCATCCTACAACTAAGCACACAAGTTCTGCTTTTTTTCTGAAAGTTAAAAAAGGTTTATGGAGAGGGCAACATTTAGAAAATTACTTGAAATAAATGGTTAAATTGAATACAAAAGCTTATGAACAAAATGCTTAAATATAAGCCATGATAATATAACAAAACATATGTTAGAAGAATAAAATATTTCGGGGCACTTCTCCTACTTCTTGTAGTTAAATGTTCTTAAATTTTTGGATGATAAAAGTAAATATAACTAGTTGAGATACATATCAAAGATTTGCAAATTAACTTTTAAATCAGCAACACCGACATGATGGTTTCAGTATATATGCTTTATAAGATTGATTTAACTTAAGAATTACCATAATTTAATTGATCCATACAAACATATACCATACTAGCTACGTTACCTCTTGCAGATTTGCTCCAGTCATGGTTATGTGAATATCATATAGTATAGTAATAAAACATAAACTGTGCTGATTTTGCACACAATAAGGTATAAATGTGGAGTATTGAATGAATATCAATATCTCATAAAGCATACTGACTCCAGCATATATTACAAACATAGATGAGGGCAACTGAAACCAAGTAAGGCAATTTTTAAATGCAAGCTCCAACAAGAAAGGCAGATATAAAGGTGCATTAAATCAACGGCCTTTCAGTTAGGCAAGGTATATTTCAAAATAGGTGGGTATACACAAAGTTATAATATAAGATTATAGTAATCAGCTACCTTCCTCGAGGTAAGAATCCAGCAAGTGACACAGATGAGAGCTGTCTGCAGAAAGTGTGGTAGGGCGTTTACGCCTGAGTTCCGAGTTTCGATTTTAGCCAGCGTGGCTGATTAATTTGTAAGGTATTAAACAACTGTGTTTCATTGTAGTTATTTTCTTAAATCGTATAATATCAACATCATGTAAATATTTGTACATAAAAGTCATGCTTCTATATAATAAAGGATTCATTTTATAATAATGTATTGTGTCATGTCTCTGTCATCCCAAAAAGCACGACAGCACGCTCTCGATTGAGAATCGGACAGAACGAAGGTGACTGGATTTTGCAAAAAGATGAGAAAATATATTTGTAATTTTTAAGAAAAGGTATAAATAAATATGTTTAAGGAAAGTAGTAATTTTAAAAGTGATTTGATTTCGGTGTTGAAGGAACTCGGTGAAGAAAGCCGAGTCCAGTTTAAAGTTGTAGAATTAAAAGTAAGCTTTAAGTTTAAGAATATTTGAAAGAAAAAGATTTTGTACTGAATTCCTAATATACGGTTGTAGAAAGGAAAAAGTCAGAGGGAAATTGCGAAACTGCGTTTGATACATATCGAAAGTAGCAACGAATCTAGTAACAAATGGCCCGAATCAAATAGGTGCGTGGCTCATATTAATATATATATATATATATTCCTTAATTTTGCAGCACAATG